CCCCAAAACCCCAAAACCCCAAAACCCCATCAAGATAATTGTAATTGATTAAGTTAAAAGTTTATATTGTATTTATATTTTTATTGATAGGCATTATAGAAATTTTATTCTTGCCTTGCCTTATTAGTTAAAACTTATATTTATATATAAAACATCTATTAAACAATAAGCTATTTACTTCAGAGAATAATACATATCGCATTTAAGGATGAATTTAACAATATAAAATGGAAAAAAATCTTAAAGTCTACAATTTCAAAGTATTATAAGTGAAAAGAACTTTCAAAAATAGGAAGAGAATAAATTCTGTGAAAGTTTAAGAAATTAATATAAGGGGTATCATGTCACTCTGGATAAGAAAGACTGTATGTAGTTAGAAGACTATGAGGAAAATAGGTATAAGGCTTTGGTTGTTATTAGGTCTTAATAAAATGGTATCAAACTGCTAGAATTATCAAAAATCAATAGCAATTCAGTGTCAAATTCTCTCGAAGAAGAGCAGGAATAAGATAATTTAAAATTGGATTTTTAATTGGAGTGTTAAGGCATGATTGATGATAATGAATTAAATAAAAGCAATTAATTCAAAACCTTGTAGGAATAGGAACTATCTGCGCTGATTTATTAACTCAGCATTATGAAATCACACTAAAACTATCAATCAATGAACTAAGTAATACCAGAAAATACAAATTGAAATTAGTTGCGAAATTCAAATAATTAAAAAACTTTCTGTGAAATGAAAAGTAAAATATCAGCACAAGAACATTTTAAGTTAAATTCTTAGATAATAACAATGAATAACTAAATCAAAGGTATAACTCAATCTTTTCTGAAAAAACTTGAGGAGCTTGAGTAATCTAATTACAGAGACTTTGATATTATTCCTTAAAGTGAGACCACTGCCATTTTTTAAAATAACATCTATTCTAAAAGTTAGCTCATTGAGTAAAACTTTGATTTCAGAGACGATGATATCTAAGAGTTTTCATAAACAGAAGAAAAAACGATACCAAATATAATTGTACACAATAATTTCAAGAAGCTTAGTAAAGTTAGAGGAAAATAATAATTTGACTTTTAGAAGTCTGAATAGGCTGAAAATGTTTAAAGAATTAAAAATTAAAGTACGAAATAGGAATAACTAGATATTATTCATCAATTTAAAATAAGCATCTTCAGTGAAATTATTAAAAAGACTTACAGTTCAGATCATTCACAGTAGACTTATCTGACAGCACTTTCAATATTTGAAAGAGTTTTTCAGAATATTAATCTTGATCTTTTCTATAACAACCCATCATTTGATTTCCTCTACATCCTGGGAATTGCAGCTTATTAAGTCTCATCAAAGTATTGGGATATTTATCCTCTATCAATCTCTGAGTTAAGTCAAGAATTTGGCATTAGCAAGAGATGTGTGGTTGAAATAGAAAAGTTATTATTGATTGAGATAAAATTTTTGATTCGATCTGAACCCGTAGAAAAAGATCATGTCACTATATTATAGGAGATTATCTAATAGATTACTAATGAATAAAGTATGAACAAATAAATCAAGGCTTGTGATTTGCAAGAATATTGAAATTTTATTTTTCTAATTAGTTTGTAGATAGTCAGTCAGTTAGTGACTCAATTGCTTTTAAAATAATTAATTTTATAATATAATAATCAAATGTTATTTTATTAGATTAATAATCCAGTTTTTACTGTTATTCAAGTCATTTGGGGTTTTGGGGTTTTGGGG